GAACAGGTCTACAGAACAGGTCCACAGAACAGGTCTACAGAACAGGTCTACAGAACAGGTCTACAGAACAGGTCTACAGAACAGGTCTACAGAACAGGTCTACAGAACAGGTCTACAGAACAGGTCTACAGAACAGGTCTACAGAACAGGTCCACAGAACAGGTCCAAAGAACAGGTCTACAGAACAGGTCTACAGAACAGGTCCACAGAACAGGTCTACAGAACAGGTCTACAGAACAGGTCTACAGAACAGGTCTACAGAACAGGTCTACAGAACAGGTCCACAGAACAGGTCCAAAGAACAGGTCTACAGAACAGGTCTACAGAACAGGTCCACAGAACAGGTCTACAGAACAGGTCTACAGAACAGGTCTACAGAACAGGTCTACAGAACAGGTCTACAGAACAGGTCCACAGAACAGGTCTACAGAACAGGTCTACAGAACAGGTCTACAGAACAGGTCTACAGAACAGGTCTACAGAACAGGTCTACAGAACAGGTCTACAGAACAGGTCCACAGAACAGGTCTACAGAACAGGTCTACAGAACAGGTCCACAGAACAGGTCTACAGAACAGGTCTACAGAACAGGTCCACAGAACAGGTCTACAGAACAGGTCCACAGAACAGGTCCACAGAACAGGTCTACAGAACAGGTCTACAGAACAGGTCCACAGAACAGGTCCACAGAACAGGTCCACAGAACAGGTCCACAGAACAGGTCCACAGAACAGGTCTACAGAACAGGTCCAAAGAACAGGTCTACAGAACAGGTCTACAGAACAGGTCCACAGAACAGGTCTACAGAACAGGTCTACAGAACAGGTCTACAGAACAGGTCTACAGAACAGGTCTACAGAACAGGTCCACAGAACAGGTCTACAGAACAGGTCCACAGAACAGGTCCACAGAACAGGTCCACACAGAACAGGTCTACAGAACAGGTCTACAGAACAGGTCTACAGAACAGGTCTACAGAACAGGTCTACAGAACAGGTCTACAGAACAGGTCTACAGAACAGGTCAACACAGAAACAGGTCTACAGAACAGGTCTACAGAACAGGTCCACAGAACAGGTCTACAGAACAGGTCTACAGAACAGGTCTACAGAACAGGTCTACAGAACAGGTCTACAGAACAGGTCTACAGAACAGGTCTACAGAACAGGTCCACAGAACAGGTCTACAGAACAGGTCCACAGAACAGGTCCACAGAACAGGTCTACAGAACAGGTCCACAGAACAGGTCCACAGAACACAGAACAGGTCCACAGACAGAACAGGTCTACAGAACAGGTCCACAGAACAGGTCCACAGAACAGGTCCACAGAACAGGTCACAGAACAGAAACAGGTCTACAGAACAGGTCTACAGAACAGGTCCACAGAACAGGTCTACAGAACAGGTCCACAGAACAGGTCCACAGAACAGGTCCACAGAACAGGTCCACAGAACAGGTCCACAGAACAGGTCTACAGAACAGGTCTACAGAACAGGTCCACAGAACAGGTCCACAGAACAGGTCCACAGAACAGGTCCACAGAACAGGTCTACAGAACAGGTCTACAGAACAGGTCCACAGAACAGGTCTACAGAACAGGTCCACAGAACAGGTCCACAGAACAGGTCTACAGAACAGGTCTACAGAACAGGTCCACAGAACAGGTCCACAGAACAGGTCCACAGAACAGGTCCACAGAACAGGTCTACAGAACAGGTCTACAGAACAGGTCTACAGAACAGGTCCACAGAACAGGTCCACAGAACAGGTCCAAAGAACAGGTCCACAGAACAGGTCCACAGAACAGGTCCACAGAACAGGTCTACAGAACAGGTCTACAGAACAGGTCTACAGAACAGGTCTACAGAACAGGTCTACAGAACAGGTCTACAGAACAGGTCTACAGAACAGGTCTACAGAACAGGTCTACAGAACAGGTCCACAGAACAGGTCCAAAGAACAGGTCCACAGAACAGGTCCAAAGAACAGGTCCAAAGAACAGGTCTACAGAACAGGTCTACAGAACAGGTCTACAGAACAGGTCCAAAGAACAGGTCTACAGAACAGGTCTACAGAACAGGTCTACAGAACAGGTCTACAGAACAGGTCTACAGAACAGGTCCACAGAACAGGTCCAAAGAACAGGTCCACAGAACAGGTCCACAGAACAGGTCCACAGAACAGGTCTACAGAACAGGTCTACAGAACAGGTCTACAGAACAGGTCTACAGAACAGGTCTACAGAACAGGTCTACAGAACAGGTCTACAGAACAGGTCTACAGAACAGGTCCACAGAACAGGTCCAAAGAACAGGTCCACAGAACAGGTCCAAAGAACAGGTCCAAAGAACAGGTCTACAGAACAGGTCTACAGAACAGGTCTACAGAACAGGTCCAAAGAACAGGTCCACAGAACAGGTCCAAAGAACAGGTCCACAGAACAGGTCCAAAGAACAGGTCTACAGAACAGGTCCACAGAACAGGTCGAAGATTCGATAATTGCAACAACTCATAATATTCAAAAAGAACCTTTGAGGAAAGACTGCTTTAATCAAACGTCACATTTATCACGGTTTTATTAACTTTACTTAATGTCTCTGACTCTGACACTGACCCTGACCCTGACTCTGACTCTGACTCTGACACTGACTCTGTCACTGACTCTGACACTGACTCTGACCCTGACACTGACTCTGACTCTGACTCTGACCCTGACTCTGACACTGACTCTGTCACTGACTCTGACACTGACTCTGACCCTGACACTGACTCTGACTCTGACACTGACTCTGACTCTGACTCTGACACTGACACTGACTCTGACACTGACTCTGACACTGACTCTGACTCTGACACTGACACTGACACTGACACTGACTCTGACACTGACTCTGACTCTGACACTGACTCTGACTCTGACTCTGACTCTGACACTGACTCTGACTCTGACTCTGACACTGACACTGACACTGACTCTGACACTGACACTGACTCTGACACTGACTCTGACTCTGACTCTGACCCTGACCCTGACACTGACACTGACACCGACTCCGACTCTGACTCTGACACTGACTCTGACTCTGACACTGACTCTGACTCTGACTCTGACACTGACTCTGACTCTGACACTGACTCTGACTCTGACACTGACACTGACTCTGACTCTGACACTGACTCTGACTCTGACTCTGACTCTGACTCTGACTCTGACTCTGACACTGACACTGACTCTGACTCTGACCCTGACACTGACTCTGACTCTGACTCTGACTCTGACACTGACACTGACACTGACTCTGACTCTGACACTGACTCTGACCCTGACACTGACACTGACACTGACTCTGACTCTGACCCTGACACTGACTCTGACTCTGATACTGACTCTGTCACTGACTCTGACACTGACTCTGACCCTGACACTGACTCTGACACTGACACTGACTCTGACACTGACTCTGACACTGACTCTGACTCTGACACTGACACTGACACTGACTCTGACACTGACACTGACTCTGACTCTGACACTGACTCTGACTCTGACTCTGACTCTGACTCTGACTCTGACTCTGACACTGACACTGACTCTGACTCTGACACTGACTCTGACTCTGACTCTGACTCTGACTCTGACTCTGACTCTGACACTGACACTGACACTGACTCTGACTCTGACTCTGACACTGACTCTGACTCTGACTCTGACTCTGACACTGACACTGACTCTGACTCTGACTCTGACACTGACTCTGACACTGACTCTGACTCTGACACTGACTCTGACACTGACTCTGACACTGACTCTGACACTGACTCTGACACTGACTCTGACTCTGACTCTGACTCTGACACTGACTCTGACACTGACTCTGACACTGACACTGACTCTGACACTGACTCTGACTCTGACTCTGACACTGACTCTGACTCTGACTCTGACACTGACACTGACTCTGACTCTGACACTGACTCTGACTCTGACTCTGACTCTGACTCTGACACTGACTCTGACACTGACTCTGACTCTGACACTGACTCTGACTCTGACACTGACACTGACTCTGACACTGACTCTGACTCTGACACTGACTCTGACTCTGACTCTGACACTGACACTGACTCTGACTCTGACACTGACTCTGACTCTGACTCTGACTCTGACTCTGACTCTGACACTGACTCTGACTCTGACACTGACACTGACTCTGACTCTGACTCTGACTCTGACACTGACACTGACACTGACTCTGACTCTGACTCTGACACTGACTCTGACTCTGACACTGACACTGACACTGACTCTGACACTGACACTGACTCTGACACTGACTCTGACTCTGACTCTGACACTGACACTGACACTGACTCTGACTCTGACACTGACTCTGACTCTGACTCTGACTCTGACTCTGACACTGACACTGACACTGACACTGACTCTGACACTGACTCTGACTCTGACTCTGACACTGACACTGACTCTGACTCTGACTCTGACACTGACACTGACTCTGACTCTGACACTGACTCTGACTCTGACTCTGACTCTGACACTGACTCTGACACTGACTCTGACTCTGACACTGACTCTGACTCTGACACTGACTCTGACTCTGACACTGACACTGACACTGACTCTGACACTGACACTGACTCTGACACTGACTCTGACACTGACTCTGACACTGACTCTGACACTGACACTGACTCTGACTCTGACTCTGACACTGACTCTGACTCTGACTCTGACTCTGACTCTGACTCTGACACTGACACTGACTCTGACCCTGACACTGACCCTGACACTGACTCGGTGCTGATGGAACGTACCACTTTCTTCCTGTGAGAACCCGACGGCCTCAGGACCATGGGGCACAGCTTCACGTCCTCGGGCTGAGTGCATTTGTTCTGAAATAAAACCACAAACAATAAAACAAAATGAAAATGTTTAGATAAATCCTACTTCAGACGTGACTCAGAAACAGGAAGAAGAAAAGTAACGAAACAATGATTGGCCGTGATTTCAGTCTGAACAAAAATACTTTCAATAGAATTGATTTGAACCCATTTTTCAAACTCTAGATTAAGCAAAAATGCATTTAAATACTTTAGTAATTATTGTGACCATTGTTAAAATACTGTTGGAACCAGAAAAACCAGGGACGGGAAAAATGTTTCTGTTTCACAAATGCAATTATATTTAAGTATGAAATAAGATGTAAATAAACACACCTGTATATGTGTGGTACCATGTGACACCTGTATATGTGTGGTACCATGTGACACCTGTATATGTGTGGTACCATGTGACACCTGTATATGTGTGGTACCATGTGACACCTGTATATGTGTGGTACCATGTGACACCTGTATATGTGTGGTACCATGTGACACCTGTATATGTGTGGTACCATGTGACACCTGTATATTGGTGGTACCATGTGACACCTGTATATTTGTGGTACCATGTGACACCTGTATATGTGTGGTACCATGTGACACCTGTATATTGGTGGTACCATGTGACACCTGTATATGTGTGGTACCATGTGACACCTGTATATTGGTGGTACCATGTGACACCTGTATATGTGTGGTACCATGTGACACCTGTATATGTGTGGTACCATGTGACACCTGTATATGTGTGGTACCATGTGAGACATGTATATGTGTGGTACCATGTGACAAGTATATTAGCGGTACCATTTGGCACCTGTATATTAGCGGTACCTTGCGGTGCTTCTGTGCGTCAGCGCCCTCTGCTGGTGCGGTGTGGGGACCGTGGGGACCGTGGCGGCTGTGGCGTGGGGGAGCGGTGCGGCGCCCTCTCTTCCTCAGGACGACACAGATCTGAGCGTAAACCAACAGCGTCACGATGAACGGGACGTAGAAGGACGCCACCGACGAGTAAACCACGAAGGCCGGGTCCCCGAAGCTGCAGCTGCTGCTGTCCCGACTGGCTGGAGGCGAGGTTAATGGTATAGCACAGGTCAGAGGTCAGAGGTCACAGTGATTCATAAAAACAGGGTTCCCACAGTTATGCTCCCATTACAATACAACTCTGAATAAATGTGGTTGAAAACATCTTCACCGCGGCACCTGGAGATCTCCCATCGCAGCACTAACAGCTGTTTGTTTTGTTTAAATGTGTGGCAGTGAAACCACACAGAGTCTAACCCATCTGTTATTAAGCTCATGATGAATCGTTACAGACCAGACCAGACCAGACCAGACAGACCAGACCAGACCAGACCAGACCAGACCTTTGTCCTGGATCCAGAACAGAGAAACAGACTGAGCCAGAGGTCATTAGTGTTTTACACTGAGCTGGTCTGTCTCTGGTCTCTCTCTGGTCTCTCGCTGGTCTCTCTCTGGTCTCTCTCTGGTCTCTCTCTCTGGCCTCTCTCTAGTCTCTCCCTGGTCTCTCTCTGGTCTCTCTCTGGTCTCTCTCTGGTCTCTCTCTGGTCTCTCTCTCTGGTCTCTCTCTCTGGTCTCTCTCTCTGGCCTCTCTCTAGTCTCTCCCTGGTCTCTCCCTGGTCTCTCCCTGGTCTCTCCCTGGTCTCTCCCTGGTCGCTCTCTGGTTGATGGTCCTTGTACCTGTGTTGTTGAGTCCGAACAGCAGGGGGCAGGAGATGGCGAAGGAGAGAAACCAGACCACAGCGATCATCACGGACACTCTCCTCCTGGAGCTGTAGCGAGTGTTGTAGAGCAGAGGCATGGCCACGGCTGTGTATCTGGGACCAGAACAACACGTAAGAACACCTCACACTCTGGGACCAGAACAACACGTAAGAACACCTCACACTCTGGGACCAGAACGACACATAAGAACACCTCACACTCTGGGACCAGAACAACACATAAGAACACCTCACACTCTGGGACCAGAATGACACATCAGAGCACCTCACACTCTGGGACCAGAACGACACATCAGAACACCTCACATTCTGGGACCAGAACAACACATAAGAACACCTCACACTCTGGGACCAGAACGACACATCAGAACACCTCACACTCTGGGACCAGAACGACACATCAGAACACCTCACATTCTGGGACCAGAACAACACATCAGAACACCTCACACTCTGGGACCAGAACAACACATAAGAACACCTCACACTCTGGGACCAGAACAACACGTAAGAACACCTCACACTCTGGGACCAGAACGACACATCAGAACACCTCACACTCTGGGACCAGAACAACACATAAGAACACCTCACACTCTGGGACCAGGACGACACATCAGAACACCTCACACTCTGGGACCAGAACAACACATCAGAACACCTCACACTCTGGGACCAGAACGACACATCAGAACACCTCACACTCTGGGACCAGGACGACACATCAGAACACCTCACACTCTGGGACCAGAACAACACATCAGAACACCTCACACTCTGGGACCAGAACGACACATCAGAACACCTCACATTCTGGGACCAGAACAACACATCAGAACACCTCACACT